GTACTAAATACTGACTTTATAAAAAAATTACGATATATTAAAATTGGGGAAAAATGAAAACAGGGTAAAACTGCTGTTATCTTTAAATATGAGGAAGTTAAAAGCCTAAGTTGATAAATCAAGACATAACAGATTAGGCAAGTTATTTTTCCATACATAGTTAAGTGCCAGAAAAAAGCCATGACAATGAAATTGACTATCTCTGGTAGCAAGATAGGTTGGAGGCATGGGACTATTGTTTCCATTATAAGCCTTTAAATTCTGTGCATATCTCACTTTGACAAAGACAAAAATGAATGATTATTGAATATTGGAATTTACCTTATTTATGGTAAGACAGTTCAATCCATTTTACCTTGTTGCCTAAAATGTCCAAACGTCTTTGGGCCCTCAAAGGAGGGGCCAAAAACACTTATTCTCCTTTCATCCAGAAATAACTGCCTAAGGAGGAAACTGGAGACCACGGCAATTTCTGCATACTACATCTCAAAAATCAGCCTAGAAGGACCAGCAGTTAGCGTAATGGCTACGTCGCTGGGCTCCCAAGTAGTCAAATCCCAGACCCGGTGGGTTAGACTCACGCCGGGCACATGTGCATGCGGGCCCAAGATCCTGAGAGGAGAATGGAGAAGGGATTGTGGGGTGGTCAGCCCCGCTGGGGGGTGATTTCTCTGTCTCTCCGTCTCTCTCTGTCTTCCTGGTGAGTGCGCGCACCTTAGAGCAAAAACCTCAAAAAAAAAAAAAAAAAAAAAAAAGGAAGCCTAGAGAGGGGGCCCCTTCTTTCAAATATTGCCTGGAAAGGTAACAGGGATGTTCCCGGAGTCAAAACTCAGCATCCCTATTGGAAGGAATCTTTATTTACAGCTCTAGATTCCGGGAGGAAGACCTTTCTTTTAACACTTCCGGTACTCCATCCCCTACTGGCTCCTCCCCAGCACGGATGAAGGGCTTTATCTTATTGGTGGGTTGGAGGGAGAAGAGAAACGGGGCATTTCCGGTTCCGTTCCTCCCACTCCTCGAGGGAGCGCACACTCTGAGGAGGTGTAGCGCGAGGCTGTTCCTCCGCGTTGTGTCAGGTAGAGTCTGTAGAACCCGTAACCAGGAAGGCCCCCGAGTGCGGAAGTCCTTGTGTGGGCTCAGTCGGCCCAGGATCTGCCGTTCACAGGAAGTCCACGGTTACCTCATTCCCGCTACTGGAGCTTTTAGTAGAAGTCAAGGTGACGTTTTGTGTCCAACAGCCAACTACCCTGTTGTCCTTAGTGGGGCCGCATCTAATCTAAACATTTACTCTATGATGGTACTTTTAAGATTGATCTGTGGTCAACTTGGTGAAAGTGTATACATACCATTTTTGTACATTTTAAACTTTATGGACTTATCTAATATTATTATTTGTATTAATTGATGAGATCTCTAATGAGAATAATGGAGAGATTAAGCTACATTTCTTTCATTTTCAAGCTACCAACTTTGTAAGTAAAAGCTGTCAGTGGAAAAAAATAACATTTTAAATTCCTTTCCTAGGAAAACGTGGAAGTTAGGAATATGAGAATTCAGGAAAGGGAAAAGCTAGTGAAAGAGACATGTGTTTTCCCACTGTGTTCCAGGAGAATGAGGTCAACTCATATTAGGAAATTGATTTCTAAAGCAAACATTCTTTGTAATGTAATTATTGAGCATTTACTAGGTGTCAAGTATGGCTTTAAAGTGAAGGATACAATAGTGAACAAAGCAGACAAAAATCTCTGCTTTTGTGAAGATTACTTTCTAATGCATAACGAACCATAAATAGTCATAATGAACCATATGGATAACGAACCATAAATAGGCATATTATGTAGTTTGTTAGATGATAATGATTGTTTTGGAGAAAAATAAGGACAATTGAATATGGAATGTTGAGGTTAGGGATGAAAATTGCATTTTTTTAAAAAAAAATTTATTGTTTTAAATTTTTCCATGGGGCACATGCTTGTGGGAGAGAAATTAAGAGAGGTAGTGAGAGGGAAAGTAAGAACTCCCCAGGGGGGATGGCCATGCTGCAATCCCCTCCTGGGATTTTGGGCACACGTGGTACATGTATCTGGCATGATTTTCAACCCTTCAGGCCTGGGATTTGAACCATGGTCAAGCATGTTGGAGTCTAATGCCTTAACTACCACGCCACCTGCTGACTCTGAAAATTGCAATTTTAAAGTAGTATGTCATTTGAGAAGAGACCAAGAGGCAGCATATCATGTTTTTTGTTTTCTTTTTTTTGTACATGGGAATTTTCTAAAATATATGTATTAATGGAGAGACCAATTTATTTTTCTAAATCTCAGTTCTGTTCCTATTTCTATACTGAAAAGCAAGTTTGGAGAATGACACATGACCACATTGGTTGGCCTTACTATTACTAAGTGCCTCTGAATGTGCCTCACTAATCCTTTATTCCTTTAAGTGGAATCCCTATCACGTTTAGCTCATTTGGCCATTTAAAGCTTTTGTGCTTTGGCTAACTTGTATAGTCATCCTTGAACAGACAAAGTTGCTTGCCTTTTAATTATGAACATTATACATACATTTGTTATGAATTGACCTCCAAGAAAACATAATAATCTCCTATCATCTAATGTTTTTCTTCAGCCGGCACAATTCCTTGTTCTCAAGTCTGCTCTGTCTGTATTAGTATAGGTAATGTTTGTTTGATACATCTTTTACTCCTATCCTTTTACTTTTAATCCATTTATGGCTTTGTATTTAAAGTAGATATCTTAGACAACATTAAGCTGTGTTGTGCCTTTTTATCTAGGACGACAATTTTCCTTTTTAACTGATGCCCTCAAACGTTTACATTTAATGTAATTATCAAAATTATTAACTCTAGCCTGCTGTCTTACTAGTTGTGTATTATTTGCTGTTTTCTATTATTTTCTGCCTAATTTTTGACTGAACACTTTTTATGATTCATTTTTTTTAAGAGAGATTTTTGCTGTGGGGCACATGTGCCCACTGGAGAGACAGAGAGAGAGGGGAGAGAGGGAGATAGAAAGTGAGAAATGACCCCCTGGTGGGTGTTGGCCATGCCGCAATCCCTTCTCTCATCTTTTCCTCTCAGAATTTTGGGCATGCATGCAAACTCCCCCAGTGTGAATATTAAACTGCCAGATCCAGGACTTGGACTGTAGTTGACTACACGTGCATGAGTCCAGTGACGTAACCATTATGCCATCTGTTGGTCCCATGATTTAGTTTTTTTAATCCACTATTGATGTATTATTTGTTCTTTTTCAAGAAACTTTTTTTTTTTTTGGAGAGATTTTTGTCATAGGGCGTGTGCGCTCACCAGATAGACAGAGAGAGACGGAGATAGAAATCGAGAAATCACCCCCCAGGGGGATGGCCACGCAGCAATCCCTTCTCTTCCATTCTCCTCTCGGGATCTTGGGCACGCATGCACACGCGCCCCGCGTGAGTTTTAAGCCACCGGGTCTGGGACTCGAACCGTGGTCAACTACAAGGAAGTCCAGCGACATAGCCATTACACTAAACTACTGGTTCCTCAAGAAACTTTTTTAATGGTTGTCCTAACAGTTATAGATAGTGTTCATCTTTGAATAGTCAGAATCTATATTATAATACTGTACATGTACTATAAGGATCTTTCAACATTGCACTTCCTCTCAATATGCTATTGTCATATATTATCTTAAATTTCACAAATTCTGTCCTGCTGAGTTAAGGCTGTTGTTGAGCCTGTTGAAGTTGTTCCTTATCTCTATTACATTTTAATTTCTATCATGTCTATTTGATTGTTTTGTTATAGTTTCAGTTTCTTTATGAAATTACCATCTAGCTTTGCATGCTGTTTCTCTTTTCCACTAAAGCCTTTTAAATACGTTAGTTATTTTTAAATCTCAGTGTTATATTTATAACACCTGCATTGTATCTGAAACCGGTATATTTATGGCTTTGTTTCTTTTTTTGGGGGGAGAGATTTTCACTATAGGGCGCGTGCGCTCGCCAGACAGACAGAGAGAGACATTAGAGACAGAAAGCGAGAAATCACCCCCCAGGGGGGATGGTCACGCCGCAATCTCTTCTCCTCCATTCTCCTCTCGGGATCTTGGGCACGCACGCACACGCGCCCGGCGTGAGTTTCAAGCCACCGGGTCCAGGACGCGAACCGCGGTTGACTACGTGGGAGTCCAGCGACATAGCCATTACGCTAATTGCTGGTTCCCATGGCTTTGTTTCTTGACAGTTGATTATTTTGACTTTCTTTATTGGTTGTCTCCTAATTTTTTGTTTGCATTTGGACATCTTGTGTAGGATAGCAAAGAGACCATCTTTTAAAAATTTTTAAATTTTTATTTATTTATTTTTTTAGAAATTTTTGCCTAGGGTGCGTGTGTTCACCGGACAGAGAGACAGTGAGAGAGAAAGTGAGAAATCACCCCCCAAGGGGCATGGGGAGATGGCCATGCTGCAGTCCCTTCTCCTTCTGAGATCTTGGGCACACATGCACATGTGCCTAGCATGATTTTGAAGCCACAGGGTCAGGGACTTGAACTGCAGTCAGCCATGTGGGAGTTCAGTGATGTAACCACTATGCCATGTGCTGGTCCCAAGACAAATAATTTTTATGCCTTGAAGTGGCATAAAATCTTCCCTTTTTGGCCCTTAGTCTCTTAGCACAGGGAGAAGTTGGTTCAGTTAAGTCAGAAGCAGGCTTTATTTGCATTTTGTTATTGCTGTGGTCATTTTCTGTGCAGCATCAGTTTTCAGTCTTTTAATATTACTTTGTGTTTACGGTGGAGGCTGGTTTTCCAAAGGTTTTTCTGAATGTCTTTTTTTTTTTTTGTGATAATAAACAAGACATTTATTTTTCATACTCATTTGGGGGAAAGGAGAAGTCAGTTTGCCCTACCTGGTGAAGGTCTTTCTCAAAAGATTCTCCATTAATTCCATAGAATCTGATAGGTTGCTTGATCTCAGATAATGTTGTATTCTTCATAAAATGAACTTCCTTTGAAGAGTGGTCAAAGGGTGAGCCTTTGTGAGCAGCTTCGTTGGTGCACAGCCAGACTCCCTCTCTGGGTGAAGCTTTTTCCACTCTGGCCACACAGATAAGGTGTCTGTCCTGTGTGAATTTTGCCATGCAGAACACAATTCCCCCTTGTGTGGAAACTCTTCCTGCACTGGCTACAGGCATATGGCTTCAGGCCTGTGTGGACTCTGATGTGAACAATTAAGCTTCCTTTCTGACTGAAGGCTTTTCCACACTGATCACATCTATAGGGCTTCTCGCCGCTGTGAACTCTTCTGTGAACAGCAAGGTTACTTTGATTCCTGAAGCTCCTCTAACAAATAGCACACTCGTAGGGTTTCTGTCCAGTGTGGAGTCTCTCATGGATGGCCAGACTACCTCGTTGACTAAAGCTTTTCCCACACTCCTTGCACTGATAGGGCTTCTCTCCTATGTGTATTCGCTGATGTGTAACAAGATTGCCTTTGACCCTGAAGCTTTTTCCACAGTGGGTACACTCAAAAGGTTTTTGACCAGTGTGGATTCTTTCGTGTAATGTTAGACTACCTTTTTGCCAGAAAGATTTTCCACATTTGTGGCATTCATAGACCTTCTGTCTTACTCCAGGTGAATCTTCCTGTAGTGTCTTAGAATCTGGGGATTTTTGTTCCAGCTTCTCTCTTCTGAAAGAATTCTGGAAATCCCAGCTTGAGGATCCTGTGGCCTTGGAATGATCATATTTGTGGTGGGCTTCTATCATCACATTGAAAAATGCTACATTCTGGGCATATCTTCCATGACAGTCCAGCAGGGTAGCTGTTGGAAATCCAAACATGTCCACTCCTGCTCTACGTCCTTAGTCATCACCTCTTCATATGATTCTTCCATGGGCTGTTCCTGAGCACCGCAGTAGCACTCACCTGCAGATACAAAGCTCTGAATATCTTTTTAATTCTCTGTTTTAGATCTTCCCTTTGGTCTGGGTCTCAGAGAACATCTTGTTTCATGATCTTACTCTTTTTCCAAAAGTAGACAGTTGTTGCTTGTTACTCAGCTTTAGTAGCATGGGGATAGAGGTCCACATGTGTGTGTATGTGTGTGTGTGGTTTTGTTGGTGGATAGGTTATTCTCTGTGGTTCTAATAAAGGTTAAGACTTAAGTAGATGTCCCAGATCATGGCAGTGATATTGCTCATAATGTCACCTCTAACTCAGCGGGAAGAGACCTTTAATGGGCTGGGTCTAGCATTTGTTCCTGCCCCTAATCTAGTGGTAAAGATATCTTTTGTTTATTTATTGTTATTTTTTGGTTTGTCAGAGGATGTACATGTATGCCAGAGAGACAGAGTGACCAAGAGAGACAGTGAGGAGAAAGCACCTCCCCAATGGGTGTGGTCATGCCACAATCCCCTCTTTTCTATTTCTCCATCTTTTTGGAATTTGGGGTGCACATGCACAGGTGCCTGCTATGTTTTTCAACCTCTGGGACAAGGATTGACCATACGGGATATAGCTGCTTAACCACTGGGTGATGAGGTCAGCCCTATTTATTTTTAATATTTAGATTTATTTATTTATTTTTGTTGCTGGAGGAGCACACGCACTTGCGGGGGCGGGGAGCAGAGAGGGGAGAAAACCTAATAAGGTGTGGTTATGCACAATCCTTTTCCCTCTATTTTGTATCCTATCAGGATTTTGGGCATATACAAACATGTGCTTAGTATGTTTTCAAGCCCTCAGGCCAGAAATCAAACCATGGCTGGACATATGAGATCCAGCTTCCTTAACTACTGTCCTGTAGGGCTGGTCTGAGAAGTTTTTTCTATGGCCATTTCTTAGCTACAGTTGTTTTTCAAGGCAAATAGTGTTTGTTTCCCTTTCCTCAACAGTTTAAGGCCTTGTACTTAGGAAGAGATAGGAAAGAAGGATCCAGGTTGGGTTTTGTCTTCTGCCAGCAGAGGCTGTCCCCTTCCAAAGATGGCATCTCAGGAGACGTTTTCTTAGTTCTCTCATCATTATTTTTATGAATATTTGGCAGAGTCACTGGCAAAGAATCTGAAAGTGTATGGAAGTTCCCTTTGTGTTTGCAGCTCTCAGGAATTCCGTTTTCTCTGAGTAACCAATTCTTTAACTACTTTAGCTCAATTCTTTTTATATGTGTCCAACAGCATCTACTTGAGGTTCAGTGAGTTCTTGCTTTCCATCTATATTTGGAGATACCTACTTTTTCTTATATTTCATGTTTGTTGCCCTACAACCTTAGCTAAGTGATTCATTCGAATATTATAGATTTTCCAGCCTTTTATTGTTGTGCTCTCAGTGTGCTGCTATGTGGAACTTAAATACTGAACCACCACACCTTGAGTGTAGAGTTGAATCAAGCATTGATACCATAAAGACTGACATGTAGGATAGTTGGTCTCTCCATATGTTCTATTCATAGCACTTGACTGTTGAGTGATGCTCACAAGCTGAAAAGTCTTGTGTCTGTTCTAGTAGAGAAGACATAGTTGGTTAAGACTATCTATATACTATATTTTTTTTTTTTTAGTAGAAGAAAAGAAAACTGATGAAAAATACAAGCAAAAGTGGCTGAGCTCAGAATAATGCTGAGCAGTGTTGGAAAACCTGTTGGCTGTCTCGCTAGCTCATATCATGGCATCTATTTATCTACAATCTTAAAGGATAGTTGATCTTTTCAACATAGCTAATATGTAGTGAGACTGCTGACTTTTTGGCATGTACATTTATACCATCTGGCTACACAAGCATGGAGCCCTGTTGATGAGAGGATGGTACAGCTATTATTTATTGTGAAATTTAGCCATCTCATTATAGGTGAATGAAACTCACATTGTGTCAGAGTATCAAGTACAATAAAAGCTTTATCTGCTTTCCTCTCCTTCCTGCCAAATATACACTATAAACACATTTTACTTTGGGAAAAGACTTAAAAGTAGTCTGAAGTGAAGACTATTCAAAGGTTTCTAGTTTCTGTAGTAAGAACCCACAACAGCAAGGCAGTTGCAGATCAGAGTGATCTTCAAGGTAATAGGATACTCTTTAAATCCCTTAAACTGTTTTATTATACTAACTTTTATATGGTGTAAGAAAATAATAGGGAGAATCCCATAGTATATTGTTGGACCTTAAGTTTTAAAAATTGAATTTGTTTTATATTCAATTATTAAAAATGTAAATCCTTAAAACCTAATCTGTAAGTTACTTGATGGGATTGTATTGCTACTGAACACTGGCAGTGACACTACTTAAATAGTAGTCTTTGTTCTATTCCCTGCACCCACTGCTTCTTTCACACCAAGCAAGGTCTTTCTTTTGTGCCTTAAAATTTCTGTACCAGCTCACCATGTTTTATGCAGCTTTCAGATAGATGGCCCCAGGGCCTGGTCTCTCAGCAACAGTGCAGCCCTCACATCTGATTCTTTGCACAGCTCAAACTAGCTGTGTGTTTTAGTGTATGTTTTTATATAGTTACATATTTATGTTTATCCTAACAATAGATGATATGGCTTTCAAGCACAGAAAAACATGTGTGTCCCCTTTATAGCTCTCTACAACATGCAGGACACTGCTCTGCTGCCATATTGTTCCTTTGGGTTAGGAAGAGAAAGAGGTAAATACCAAGCTACAAATTACTGACATTTTGAAAATCTTACTAGCCAGTTATAATTACAAAATGATTGCCTGGGTAAAAGGTGCAAAGGAAGGATACTAATTTTTATTGAACATGGAGTAATTTACAGGCAGTAATTTAATATGTATTTATTTTTAAATTTTCAATATTTATATGTAGGGCATGTACCTGTGTGTGTGTGTGTGTGTGTGTGGCAGGCTTCACTATTCTAATTTTGATAGATGGGAAAAATGATCTCAGAAATGAATACACTTGTCTAAGGTCACATAAATAATACTGGGAAATAGATAATAAACACTGGAGTGTCCACTTACATAGCCAGTGTTAGAGGTAAGTCATTTCCTCTTATAAACTCACTAATGACTATCATGACATCAAGGTGGGACTCCTTTCCAATGAGTATCTGATTAAGCACCCCCAGGATAATACCTTGGGATCCTGTTTAAGTCCTAAATTATAAAGAGCCTATGTCAGGGTAACAAGTATGGAGCAATCTTCTGTTGGTCTTATCAAGATTCAGTGGATGAAAACATCCTTTTTGGTTTAGAAATTTCTACCAGAGATACTAGAAGGCGTTATTATATTGGCCTTTGGGAACAAAACTATTAGTTGGCAATAACTAATAGAGATTTACTAAATAGTTATCTTAGGTATGCATACAACATTCTATATCAGGGATGGAAAAATGTTTAAAATAAGAGCCAACTACAGAAGGTTTTGTGTATACAGGGAGTGGCAAGATTTGTATCAGAAGGATGCTTTTGGTTTGGAAGTGGAAAAGATGGCAACCATGAAAGACTTACCCTTTCTGCATTAATGGTCTAAGATAAGGTTTGGAAAATAAAAATTCTGCTGCCTGGGGCTGGGAACCAGCATCAGTAGATTTAAAAAATCCTCAAGTAATTATAATATGGAACAGGTTTGGAAACTACTGGTCAGAATTTTGTTTCTCAAAATACGATATTGGGTGCTTCTTAGAAATACATAATCTTAGGCTTCATTTTACATCTACTCAATAATCTGCCTTTTTAAAAAAGAATTGCTTTTTATTTAACTTTATTTATTTGTTTACTTATTTATTTATTTTGTAAATTTGACCAGAAAGGGACAGAGTGAAAGAGAGAGAGAGGGGAAGTGAGAAAGTAAACCACCAGGTCTGGGACTTGAACTGCAGTTGGTCATGTGGGAGTCCATCTCCCCTAACCACCTTTTCACCTGCCAGCCCCAATAATCTGCATTTTTATAAGATCCCCAAATGAATCTTATGCACACTAAAGCTCAAGAAGTAATGGGCTATAAAAGTTTTCTATATATTAGAAGCACATGGAGAGTCTTTAAAACATAATGATATTGTGGCCTCATCCTATAAAGACTGTAATTCATTTGGTGTATGATGAGGCCTAGACTTCAGGTGATTCCAATCTGCATTCACAATTGTGAAATTGAAGGCTAAGCTGAGTGCCGAAAAAGTTTGCATAAAAAGAATCTAGAATTTGCTCAGGTAGCTTGGGAGGTTAAAAGGAGAAATTTAGGGATGCTTATAGTACATAATACAGTAATATGTGAAGAAACTGAACTTTGAGAGGAAATGTTTTTCCATGAGAAGCTTCCATGGGGGGAGAAACAGAAGAGAGTGAATAATGAGTGGTTGAAGGACTTTAAAAATACAGAAGTTAATAATTTATGTTATTATTGGTGATGTCATAAAGCAGGACAGAAGGTAACCATAAAAGAATTTGACTCTACCAATGCTCAAATTTCTTGTGATAAGTGTGAAAGTCCTCACAAGATAATGAAGGATGGAGGCTTAGGGTATTTAAAATATAACTAAAGGATGATTAACTCCAGAGAGCTGAAGGATTTAGAGTTGGAGGCTTCTTGTTATCAGTCATTCGGAAAACAAATGTATGAAGGGACTTTGGAAAGTTTGTGGAAAATAGATTTAAAGTACAAGTTTATTTTGGTGTAAAATATTTTTGAAATCCATACGTATGTTTTTATAATACGTATTTCCATGAACTTTTGAAGATCCCTCATGTCACATAAGGATAGTCATTCCTTTGATCACCAGCTTCTTCTTTAGGAGTGAGTAGTAGCTCTGCAGCCTGAGTCTAGGTCAGTGTCTCTTTCTTGCTCTTTTATTATCTAGCATTGTTTTTACTCGTGCTGTCTTTTAGTCAGGTATTGTTTTCCAAGCTTCATCTAATTTCAGTCTTTATATTGTCATAATTCACTGAACTTCCTCTTAAGGAAGGAA